GCCGAAGCGGCACCGCTTTGCCGAGGATGTTTGCGAAGGCAGGTGGGAGGGTATCTTCCTTCCAAGCCAAATAGTATGGGCTTGCGGAAAACGAGACTTTTACACATCTGTGTGCACACTTGTGTATCCATGCTTGACATCATCTTATCTTGTCTATACGTCAGTTGACTCCAGCTGATCCTTGCTGTGCATTTCAGGCCCCTGACTTTCGCAGGCGCGGCGGTTTTTATCTGCCAACGCTTCAACACCTGCAGACCCCTGACTGAAAGAAGACCCTGGCCTCCTTTCAAGGACAACCGACACCTCCATTTGCTTAGGGCCCTGGAAGAAAAAGCCATAAACACATATCATATTTCCGGTAGTGATAGATTCCCTTTAAAACCAGCCGAGAAACTAACAATTCTTAAGCAAATGGAAAAGGAGGTCGTTCAAAAGGTCGTTTGACCAGTAAACAAGGGCGTTGGGCCCAGCTATTCGGGCGACACATACACCTTCAAAATGGAAGTGGCACGAGACATCCCAGACCTGCTGGCTCACCCCGGGTCCCACAAACATTGACCCCCCCGAGAAAAACTCCATTACTGTTGTCCACAACCACGACCAGGCACCACTCCCAGGTTTTCTTCACTCACTGAAGATTGTACCCTTTGCTCCCCTTGTCAACCCTCAAAAGGGTAGCGAATCAAGTCATATAAGCATTTTACGTGTTGGCCATGGAACATGTCAGTGCTCCAATCTGCAACCTTTACAACAATTTTACAAACGAACATGTCCCTAATCCCACACGGTGAGACCTATTATAGTCAGGTTCGAGCGGTCAATCTCGGCCCGCGGAAGCCTTTTGTGACTCTGCAAGAGACTGCCCCACGCCTGCCACACGCATTGCTCTTTTTAAGTTGACCCGTTGACAAAATAGATCCGGTCTTTGGAAAACACCAAAGCCCAAACTTCTTTGGGATCTTCATCCTGTGGATGGAAGAAATCCACCAGTTGGTAGATGGTTTATCCCACTGTTTATAGTGTATGGAATCTAACCCAAGTGGTGCGAAATGGATTTCGTCCACTCGTTTTAGCAGGACTCAGTCAAATCCCCTCGGCTTCGGCCGCGACGAAAAAGCAAACCCTGGCTCCGAGCTGCGACCTCGTAATTTAAACGTTCAGAACCCTGGTGTTTGACATTGTTTGCGGGACATCCAACCAAGAACCAAGAGGGATCTGGAGGGACCATGTCTATTTTTTCTCGCAAACCCGACTCAAACACGAGGCGCCCGAAAGGAGCGAAGCGCCACACTCCCCGTGCGCTTCTCGCGCCGATTGGGACCCCGAGCTGCGACCAGCAGAACTGTGGGCATTGCCACCTGGCCGGAGCATTCCGCCCAACATGGAACTGACCATGGGGCTCCCCTTCAAAGGAAACCGGTCTTCCAGGCCGCATTTGTGAGGTTCCATGTTTGTGGATGGGAGGGTTCTCCAAACATCATGTTATTTCTGGTACTCTCATATTCAGCCTGCCCTAAAAAGGCAGAGTAAAGGAGTTCTCTCATATTCAGCCTGCCCTAAAAAGGCAGAGAAAAGGAGAGCTTGCTGATGTTTGAAGCAGGCACACACAGGCACATACTGGCCAACCTGAAACCAAGCCGCAGGCAAGTCCAGCAACACCTAACCCTAAACGCTACAAAAACCCTGAACCAACCCTCTATCAACCCAAAGGCATGGGCGTGGTGCGTAACCATCCGTTTGTTTAAGCCCGTAGAAAACATGAGAAACATGTCCAGTAGTGAATTCGATTCCCTTAAAATCAAAAACGGGGCAAATACAACGTATTATTAAGCAAATGGAAGTAACGTCCATACCTACAGAACTCTTATCTGAAAACGCTCTGAAATCTTGGCCGCCCAAGTCATGCCCAGTGCTCGACAGCTTGAGAGTAAGGGAGACCAACAATAACTTCAGATAAGCAGGTTGTGCCCTTTTACTGGAAATCCGGACCACTTTTATGAGTGACACCTATTAATCTGGGGTTCCCATTAACGAGAAACATGTTTTCGAATCCAATGGGCAACTGAGAGGATTGCTATCGGTGTGCCGCAAAGTGGCATCACCCCTGCTTGTAGGTCAGCCGAACATATATCTCTCAGTTGGCCTTCCACAAACAAAAGCAGCAAGTCAAAAGGCCTGAGCATGTAACAAACAGCAAAAGTCCAGAAACATTGGCTCGAGCGACGGTAAACGGATTCGATCCTGCGTGGCGGGGGTGGGCGCTGAGCTGCGATGGTTGCGCCTGAGAAAAAAAACGGCAACAGATCTTTGCAGGGAAGTTCCATCCAAGGAGCTTCCATGTTAACTTGTGGGGGGAGCTTCCATTCCGGGACATTTTGAGAGACGTGTCGGATTCGTAGGGTCCTTCGGATATTTCCCCTCTGGCTTGCAAGCCGGGAGGCAAAGGCATCAGGCCCAGGTGCGTCGCTGGTGACCTCGGAGAAACCGCGAGGGAAGTCAGAAGATCCGAGCCGCAAAGATCAGATAGCTCGAAAACTAGCAACAGGTCGTGATGAAGACCTTGTAGGTTAATCGAAAAACATTCCCCAAAGGTAAAGGCGATTTGCTCGCAAAGACCAGCTTTGCGGGGGTTGGACTGTCCCCCACTCCTTCGACTAACCAGTTGCCGGTTTGATTGGCAAAGCCCTGCACTGGCACTGCCCTGCACTGGCACTGCTTTGATACGGAATGCTGGAATCAAATCCTTGCCTGCGGAGGAAGTGGGAGTGAGGCAGCGGGGGTGCAGGAGGCTACCCCCTGTGCATTCAAAGATTCTAAGTCTAGGTTCTCATCAGGGGGAATCCTGCCGTTCTAGTTTCTAGTTTTCTAGCTTGCCTTTGCACATAGCAATATCCCATTGACCATGCTTAGCAAGCACCGGAGCGAGGATCATGTCCGCTAGCAAACCTCCTTGTTGCAAAACCCTACTCTGGATGGACTACATCCTGCACTAGTTGTGGTTCATTCCAGTGTTGTAAGGGCATAGTAGTTCCGTAGTGCATACCAGCTGCAAGCGCGCCAAGAACAGTGAAGCTGAGGTGTCAGGCTCGTTGGGAAATTGCAACTCCAGTGGCAAAGAGTTGTCGGGAACCGCTCATGCCTTGTATCAACCAGGCTTCACTCACTTGCCCAAAGAACCATGAAATACAAGGTGACATAACCTTTTGGGACCGTGACGTAAAATTGACAAAAGTAGGAAACCCGAAAGGTCAAAAGGTCGATGCGCTTTGGACAAGTTAGACCAGGCGTCGTGGTCCATTTCCAATACGTAGGCTCCCGCCCTCCTAAACTTGCCCACCTGGATTCTCACGGCTGTGCCCTCCCGACAGGAATCAACGTGCGCAAACCCCGTCTTTAGTGAATCTTTAAAGGGGTGCCGCAGGCTCCCCAAACAATTTCTAAGGAACCCTAGGCAAGGGACTCTCAACTACCCGCCTGGCACCTACCCCGAATAAAACTCAATCCTTCTGGTGTGCACCGTGGCCACCGTGGGTCATGTTTGTTGCATAGGGCAAAGGACCTCTGAGCCCACGCAACCCGCCCCCCATTCCAGTCGCAACAAAACGAAAGGTCGAGGCCATGCATTCTGGGACAACATCACTGCACAAAAACTATCCCCAAGTACTTGAGTGACCTTCATGAGCTTGGTTTAAGGTTCTGGGCTGTCCAAGCTGATGCTAAACAGTTTAGCTTGTGGGATTAATGGAAGCCCCTACTAAACCTTAAAAACCTAAACGTTTAGGGGACGGCTGGGAACAGGCAAGGATTGGTGGGCTTGTTGGAATCTGTGCAGAGCCATTTGCGGTTCTTGTTAATGTCATGGATCACACCGCTGGAGACCGAATGATCAGAACATAACCCTTTCCGTGATACTAAAACATGACTACCTGCTCAAGTTAAAGGAGTGGCCCTTATCGGGCTGCCCTGGGCACAGAAGGCGGCAAACCCGAACCTCAAGCATGCACGTCCCGTGGCACCCCACTCTTGAGGAACCACCTCAGCCGCGTGGCACCATGGATCAGCTTGTGCTAGGTGGTTCAGCCACTTCATAGGGTTTCATCCATCCCAACTGGCGCCGATCGGCACAGATTGTGTCACCCGCAATGTTGAACCCACGTACCAAATCCATTTCGCACCAGTTGGGATTGGTGCTTTATCGATCCATTAATTATAGGGATTCATCACGCTTCATCTATCCCAAGTGGTGCCGGTCGATTTGCGTGGATTTCGTCCAGTACTTGCTGCTTGACAAAAAGCCACACCATTTTCCAAGGCGAAGCCTGAGGGCAATAAAGAAATGGGCTCGATGAAATGGCAAACGGAAAGGACAGTAGATTTGAAAGTGAATGAACATGGTCCGAGTCCACTGCCATCTCACTTGCCCCGAGAAAGGGGCGCCTGGAAATCAAAGGTGATGACCTGAAGGAGACCTTGAACAAAAAAAGGTCCCAAAATGGGAAACCGAAAGGTGAGAAAAGGTCGATTCGATTTTGGGCAACTGAGGCACAGTTCAGGCTGGTGTAATTGCTTCATTGGGTGGTTCCGATAAAAGCTTAACTTTTTGTTGGTCCAAAGGAAAATCCGCTGTTTCAACCAACAAGTTAGATGGTGTCCACCAAGCCGAAGCTAGCCCTAGAGGACATTGGGGGATATATCATGCACAGAAAGACCTGCGCTATTTTTCAGGTTGTACCTCTAGAGCCACAACCTGGTTGTATCTCCCATAGACCCAAAAAGAACCGGGCTCTTTAAGCGCTTCAAGGCTCCGCGCAGGTCCTCGGCCGGCCCAAAGAAACCCAGGGCCGCGGCGGCCTTGGAGATGAGGAAGTCCTCCACTGCCGCGGCCGTCGTGGTGCCGCCTGATGAGTCTCTCGCATGTTTTCAACCTCCCCGGAAGGAACGGCCGTTTTTGGTGAGATGGGAACATTGCTTTTACAGTTGTATGTTGTGTCCTTATGTTT